CCCAATTACCATTTGGCCCATAAGATTGGAAACGCAGTTTGATAACGTGTACGCGTGGCATTTGTGCAGAGAGAAATGAGAAGCAGAGTGAAATATCAGAGATTCTCTCTGATGAGAAGAAGGGAGCGAGACGGAGGTTGCTTGGCCGGAGGAGCTCCGAGACGGCCGTGGATCCTTTCGGTGCAGAAGGCAAAAATGAAGATCTTGAAACGGTAAGCAAGAAAAACTCTTCTTTTATTAAATCTGAGTACATTCAAAATACAAAGTGTATCTTTCATTAACCGGGAATGGGGAAAAGGGACTCTGTATATATAGAGTCCCGATAAGGGAAAAAGGTAACAGAAACACTCCACTGTTCAACCAGAACAGTGAAGAACGGTCTAAACCAAAACCGTTAAGAGAATCGAAAGATTCTCAATAAAGGTAAAAACAAAAACAAATAACATCCACAAAATTTTGGATTCAGATCAAACACACTCACAATGCTTCTATCATAGTGTCTTCTAAATAACTTTATGAAACAAAGGGAGACCTAAATTAAGAACTGTGAACGGACAAGGAAAAGTTGATCAAGCAAAATTGTTCGTTTCAAACAGGTATTTATCAAAGTTCTATATGAAGTAATATGAAGAAAGAAGTTAAAAAAAAACTATTTATAAGAATGAAGAGTATAAAACATTGTGAGTAAAGTGAAGTATAAAACATTGCTTTAATATTCAGGCATTTTTGTGTTTATAACCATCACAAAAAGTCAATGATTATAAACAGAACATGAAATCTCTAATGACAACTAAAAGAGGCAATCACAGTATTTTTATATTTTATAAATTAAATTAACGTCTTTTCTTACCTTCTGAAAATATAACTGTTATCCAACTGGGACACCGTGCAAACCTCCTGAGAAAGAGTACCCACTGTTGGCACCACCAAATTTTCCACCAGCGTGCAAGACCTGCAAAGTTCTAAGGAGTAAATAACTGTTAATAAAAAAAAATCAAGTACATAAAATATTCTAGAAATTTTATTACATGTTACAATATCTCTTTATTACATCTTACAAGTGGTGAAATCAAATCAAGTTATAAATCTCAATATACTAAATATTCTAGAAATTTATTTAAAAAAACTTTGAGATCACAAGTCGGAAACTCGTGATATGATTACGGAAATGAGTTTTGGTTGGCTCTTGGTTGGCAAAAGTGAAAGGAATTCATCCTGAAGATTAGGTTAAAGTGAAAAATGAAGATATAGATAGAGAGATAGATGAAGATTAGGTTAGAGTGAAAAATGAAGATTAGGTTAGAGCGTGAATTGAAATGGGAAGTAAAAGGGGAAGGAGAGGAACTAGGAAGTATTAGGAATGGGAGGCTCAGACAAGAGGAAAAGAACACAGAGAGAATAATCTGATTGAAGAGATAAGATGAAGATTGAAGAGATAAGATGAATATACCAGACAGACAAAAATGATAAAATGAATAGAGATATCTGCCAACAAGATCCTTAGTTCTAGGTCTAGCTCACCTAAAAATAAGAAAACAATAATCAATTATAAAGGACTACACACACACACACACACACGCACACCTAAACGCACACGAACACACACACAACACACACACGCACAGGTACACGCAGACACGCACACACACACAACACACGAACTTAACACACGCACCCGCGCACACACATACACACACTCACACAGAGACACAACAAACGCATGCGCACACGCACACCTATACACACACACACACAAACGCACAGACACACACAAACACACACACACACGCACA